GTATGAGAAATAATGAAGGGTTTTAAGGATGCTTCAGTAACTGTTCATGCAGCCACATACTAGGCCAGTTGAATTTCTTGTCATTCAAGAGCATTCCCACCTCAGATCATTACAGTAGTCCAGTTCAGAAAGTTATCTAACTTTCAGAGCTGGACTACTCTCTTCCCCCAAGTAGACTGCGTTATCAACTGAAACTGACTGCTTTGGCACTATATCTAAAAAGATCTGGAGAATGTGTATCTGCTTCTTAAGTGAGAACGGAACCCCTTTCAAAGCTTATGTATCTGAACCTTGAAGTTCAACTCCTGGTATAAATACAAACTTTATCTTGCCTGAATTTAGATTTAGCTTACTCTTCCATTCCAGTCCCATACAACCTGAAGACAAGAGGAGGGGGGCATTTGAAGGTATCATCTCTTAGCTTGAAGAAAGGAAAGTAATAGCAGAATTTTGATGACACTACAAATGTTCCTTTGTATTAATCCTTCTGCTGCAATGGCAGCATTACAATCCTTCCACCCTTCAATACTTTATGTAGAAAAATGACTATTGTTCCAAGTCAAGAGATTCTGCAAATATATACATATTGGAAAGTTAATTAAAATAGCTTTTACTATGCAGTCTTATTTTATCACTTCTAATGTTTCATATTAAGTTGAGTTTTTTTTCTGTAATAAAGGTTGACTGTTGATTGACTGAATATTTCATGCTTGATTAATTGTTATTTTAATCTGATACTGTGGTTTTACACTATTTCATTCCTCACCGGTATTTCTCTTTCTCTTTCAGTTTTTACTGTATTTGTTATTCATAGGAACATTAGAAATAGAGATACAGGATTTACCTTAACAACAGCCGCCCCTCCCTTTTTAAACAATGAGAAAGCAGACAATTTCAACGATGTAACTGAAACTTCAACAAATGCATGTAAGGCCCTGCTGTCTTGCAACTTTTCAGAGCAGTTCTATTGTGAACTAGGTTTGCACTTTGCCAGCAAAGCAGCTCTGACCCATGGAGAGCACTCCTTCAGATCAACACTGCCTCAGGCTTTGCTGAGTTCTCCAAGAAGTCTTACATTTCAGGCATCAAGTTGAATTTCTTCTGGAGATGATTAGCCCAAACCCATGACAGATTTTTTCCAAGATATCTAACTCTTTATGTTTATTTTATCCTGGCTCTTTTTGGATGTACTGGACACAAGTAACCTACTCATTTTACATGTTAAAGGACTGGTGGAGAGCCATTAATTCCTTAAAATATTTCAATGCACAATTCTGTGAGCTCACATTAGATAATAAGAAACAAGCTATAGGATTATGATACTTGAGTGAAAGATTCCTTTCTGTCTTGAAATCTTTTTTAAAACATTCTTAATAATCAGGAGACAGTGATCTTAGGCTTTATAGAAACCCATAAGCTGTAATAATAATTGTTGAGATATTACACCAGCCAGTTAAATAATCCAGCATCTAAGTTTGGGATCAATCAAAAAATATATTGTGGTTTCCAAAAGCTAATATTATCCCCTAATGTTGGTGAATCATCCTTAAATAAAATTAATTTTGAAGAGTCATAAGCAGGTTCTAGTTTTAGAGGAATTATGAATGTGACAAAAGTCTATTGCTTTTTGCTATAAAAGAAATATCAGACTATGACATAATCTTTGTTTCAGATAACCTGAAAATTAGTTAGAGCTACCCTGTATATTCTCCAGACCTTTATATTTCTCTCTCTCCCCTTATTTCTCTCTTACACTCTGTCTAGGAGAAGATGCAGATCTTGAGGGCTAAGTCAATAGAATAGAGTCCTTACATTCTCACAAGCAACCTATCTCTCCCTCTCTCTCTCTCTCTCTCTCTCTCTCTCTCTCTCTCTCCCTCCCTCCCCCCTCTCTCTCCGTCCCCCCTTTTTAAAAACAGGTTTATTTTGTCCTTCTTCCAACAAATGTGGATACAAAGAATATATAATCTTTACTTTGGTTTCATCTTTCTAAAAATGCATAATTGGTTCAGTTAGAAGGTAATCCTAAAGAATGCTCTGGCAGTTCACATATATGAGCACATACAAGCTTCATGGGCTCCTGCATGTTTTTCTTATGACATGACTGTATAGGGACTAGAAGCATGCACATCTGTTTTTAAATTAATTAGATTTCCCTGTAACAACCAAATTTAAACAATACAAGTTGGTTGTACTTATGATTTTATGAACAAGTGAAAATAACGTTTGATCCAGACATTTTTAAATAATAGTTCAAATTAGCCAAACTTCATCCAATTAGTTTAAAACTCAAGTCTAAGACCAAAACTATCAAAGCCAAAATATTGTGATAACCATGCATCCATACAAATCAAGCACTGATGTACAGAGATAACATAAAAAACAGAGCTTGCTGACAAAATGTAGAAGAGAAATTTCAGATAGAATAGCAAGAGCACTGGTAAGAGGGTGAAACATGAGGTTTCGTTATATGAGATCATTATGTTTCTTCTATTGTATGAATGCCTGGCAAAAATATGGGATTCCTATAATTCATATGATGTGCACATTTTGCACCACACCCCATGTGGTAGTTTTACTATCTTAGTATATACACTGTAACAGTGTCAGATAAACACTCCAGAAGTATGATTTGGCATTTATCTCTAGTTATTACTGAGCCACGGGGGCATTATTTGAAGAACTCTGTGTGTGTTTGTTTGCTAAAGTAGAAGGTTTTGTCAGAGACGTGTGTGTGTGTGTGTGTGTGTGTGTAAGAGAAAGACAGAGATAGAATAGATAGTACTTCCTCTTTCTAACAAATGAAAAAAGCTGCATAATATGGTATATTATACAAATGTTCATATTCATTGACACTCATACTATCATATGTACATTATACACACATATATATTTATTTAACATTTAGGATTATGTACCAAATAATTTCTGATCCTTCCCACTCAATAAAAAAATTCCCTAAAAGGACTATACATATATTGTAAATATAAATATATTGTATTTCCAATATGTCTTTTTATAATAATCTTTTTTCTGTATTCTTTCAATTCATTAAACTTGAACTTTTAAAAAATATGTAGTTTATCTATCGATTTGTTTTAAGAGGTACATGAAGAGCTGCCAAAGTAACTTACAGACAATGTAAAACAATACAACATAAAGATACATGCACAATAATTAGATCCATAACAGAAAAAGCCATGCTTACAGACACCCCCTTTCCAAGATTAATGGCAAAGTCAAAGTTAACAATGAGCACTTATTTAATTGGAGTTATTATAAATCTAACTCTGGATCCAACGAATTAAAAACTAAGCAGATCAGCTATAGTTAAGTAACACTAGTACTACATAATTAAGAGTTTTAAGGATTTGTAATGCCTGAAAATAAGACCAGGTCATATTATTTTTTGCTGCAGAAGATGCATCAGGGCTTATTTTCTGGTTAGGTCTTATTTTGGGAGAATATGGTACTAATTGCATCCATCTGGCTGAGGATATTAACTGGGGATTACTTTTGGGGTAGGGCTTATATTAAGAGCATCCTGAAAAACCATGGTAGGGTTTATTTTCTAGTTGGATCTTATTTTCGGGGAAACAGGGTAGAAGGCACTAACCAATCACAATGTGCTACAAATGGAAACTCCTCACCTTATTTGCCACTATCTACCTCCTAACTGCTGAAAGCAAAAGAAAATGCAAAAAATATAAAAGAATAAAAAAGCTGCTTAATGTTCTTTAAAATGTTTACATAAATATATATATAGCAGCTATGGACAAAGGGTTAAATTTCTACTCTAGGTAAAACAAAAAATAAGAAAAAATGAGAAAAGACAAATTAACTTTTGGAAAGAAAATAATAAAATTAGGATGTTCTAGTTATGATAACTAGGTGAGTGATGTGGGACAAACATATATCTATTTTTCCTATTCATTAAAGATGCAAGTGTAGGTACCATTTTTGGTGTAAAATATTTTCTTTATCTACTGATATAAGACATTTTACATCTTGCATTGTTCTTAGAATCTGTTTATCTTCCTGCATATATTGCATGCATCCATGTGATTGATATTTCATTTGGAGTAAACAAGGTTCTAACAATTTCCCTTGTTAAATATTTTTTGTTACCATAACATTGAGATCAGTTATATTCATATACAAATACATGGGAAAAGGTGAACCAGTGTACAGTAGTTCATTTACAGTTCAAGGATCAGGGGAACTGAAATAACTTTCCACAACAAAACAGGGATTTATTTGTTAAAATGAGAGAATATTAGTTGTTCAGTGATATTTTAATAGTATATGAATAATTTTATTTTTTCCTATGATATACATTATCAGATGCAGAATATTTAAATCCAGAAAATATGCAATATAAAAATGTTTTTAAAAATAAATAAATTAGTCATATATTCTTACCACAGCATCAAAATCACTTTCACATATGATTGGCAATTAGAAGTCCCTTTTTCTCTTCTAGATTATGCTATGATCAGTTTTAATACTGATAAACGTTGTATCAGTTAGAGACTAAAAGAATTTCTCAGGAAACACCATATATTCAGATGTCTTATGATTTTTCATGATGGTGATATATTCCAGTTTAACAAACCTTTAAAAAAATCTAATTGTTTCACTTCCTAGGGCATACCCTTCCTAAACTAGCAATCCTTTTAACAACTAACATATGTGTACTTACTCATTGTGTTAAATTCCACTCTGTATTTCTAACTTTCAAGAAATAAAGGAAATATATTTTGAATGAAGCTATCTCTTCAGTGGGTCTCCTGAGGCATTACAATTTAAAATTTTCACCTGAACATTTTATGTACACGTATACCTGCATCATTAGCAGATTTCAATTGTATGCATTAAAGCTTTTCTTCCTGTTAACCAAAGTAAAGTATTTTAAGAAAATTGATCAAAATATTGGTACAAGTTTTATAATTTTGGAAGATTTGACCAAAATATAAATAGAATGAAATTTCTTTGCCTACCTTCAAAGTAACCAGTTTTTGTAATCTGTGGCTTCTTTGGTGGTTTGATGGGGGGATGTTTATTTTCATTGTTTTTGAACAACGCCAGTCGCACAGCTGGGTCTAGACGACAAGAACAAGTTAAAATCAAAAGGTCAGATCTTGCTCATTCGTTCCTTGAAAGAAGTATTCGCCTTTTAGCCATTTATTAAGAGAAACAGAATATCCTTGTAGGTTTTACATTAGGAAGGAAAATATACCATTTCTAACATTAAAGAGTTAAAGTTAAAGCACCTCAATTTCAATCATATATCTTAAAACAACTATTGTTTTAATTTGGCTACTATATACAAAATTGCTGTCATAACTACAATAAAAAGTATACTTCAATTAATAGTTGAATGTTCTGATTTGAACATGTATTTTCTACTAAGTTAAAAAAATGCAAAATATATCTTTAGCTATAGTGCATATGTTCTTACCTTCATTTACTAATAAAACAAAACAAAATAAATGAGTTCAATGGAAGTTTTTCTCATGTAAGTAAGAACAGTATTATAACCTAAGGGAATTCAGTAACTAAGGTTTCTACTAAATTGAATCAAGAATCTAATTTGAGATTTAAAAATTTAAATATCTTATGATCTGATGCTAAAGATAAAGAAACAATCTAATGTGAGAGGCTGCTTTGCACTGTCTCTCTATTTGTCTTCATGCATATGTTAGTTGGGGTTATCCAGCTAGCTGAGTTTCTGAAAATAGGAGAATTACATGAGGAGTAGCCAATAATCTATGGTAATCTATACATCCAAGATCCCTCTCACAGTTACTACTATTGACCATATATTCTGTACCTGTGCATTTTGTTTTTCTTGCCTAAATGTAGAACCTTACTTTTTTCACCATTGAATTTTATTTTGTTAGATAGCGCCCTATGTTGAAGTCTGTCAAGATTCTTCTGTATCTTAAGCCTATCTTCCTGAAGTGTTGGCTATTCCTGCCAGCTTGACGTCATCTGCAATTTTGATGAGTTCTCCATCTATCCCCTCATTCAAGTAATTCGTGAAAATGTTGAAGAGTGTTGGACCTAAAACAGAGCCTTGGGGTACTCCACTGCATACTTCCCTCCATGTTGAGTGCAGTTGGTCATCAAGTTATGAATCCATCTGGTGATGATGCTGTCTAACTCACATTTTTCTATTTTATCAAATAGTAGATTATGGTCTACTTTATCAAATGCCTAACTGAAGTCTAAGTAAATTATAGAGACAGTATTCCTCTGGTCCACTAATGTTGTCACTTTGTCAAAGAATGCAATA